TTGTGATCCCCTTGATAGGGTTTTGTGTCTGTAGAGCATCTGCTTTGCATGCAATCCCTAGCATCTCCAGGTAAACATCTACCTGCCGCTGGTGGGTGTGCATAATACTGAGCTACATGGACAGATTCCTGTGTTCCTAACCCCACTTGAGGTTAAGCTAAGTCTCTGGCTGGCCTCTCACGCCTACCGACAGCCGCTGGGAATTGAACAGGGGGTTGCACGCAAAGGATGTGCTCTGTCACTGAGCCCCAACTTGAGGAGGCGGAGGAGAAACCCCTAAACCTCTAGCTTGAGTCTGGAGGCAGGGCTGGGCTGGGCTGGCAACAACCACCCCTGAAGGTCCACCCCACAGGGGTGTAGCTAGCTGCTCTGGCACCCAGAGTGGCAGGGGCAGGGTGATGTGCCCAGAGGGGCAGTCCACCTGGCAGACGCAAGTCCCATGCTGCAGTTTTGGGCAGTGTGGGGCCCTGAGCGACTGTGTCACTCCCAGGAGAGACACATGGCTTGGGCGCGCTGCAGGCCAGGCCCCACGGTAAGTGCCGCCCTCTGCGGTGTGCCATTTTGTCAACCCCTCAAGGATGACACCTGGGGCAGGGCAGGCCGCCCCCCCGCACCTTCCTTCCTATGCCTCTGCCGCCCCCCTGCCCTTGCCCAGCCTGCCTCTCCGGATTGCTGCTTCTCACTGTGCCTTCCTCCCTGCACAGCATTCTGGGATGCCACCAGAGCCTTCATGCTCCTCTCCATCCTCTCCTCCTTCGCCGGGATCATATTGGGTCTGACCATCTACTCCAGTAGTGCCCGATCCACACGCACTCGCTCTGCAGGAATCACACTCTTGATCGCAGGTAGGTGCTGAAGTGCAGGTGGGTTCCCACAAGGCAAGACACAGTGATAACAGCAAGAACCCTTACTGAACAAACAGAACTGGACAACAGGGGCAAAGTAATTGCTTATATACATTTCTGAAGGCCTAGGCCACTCCCACTCCCAACGTGATTGGCTCTCCAAACTTCCAAGCTGCGAATCATAACTCAGAGTTTAAAGGCCAATGGCAGAGGCCCAAATCCTGAAATGTTCTGTGATTGGATATCATGTATCGAATCAGAACACAGGGGCTCAGAATCCTTAGTCCAAAACTCAAGATCAGGCAAACACAGACCACTGAATACATTACATTTGCAGCAGGCTGGAGGAATCCAGATTATTGAACAATCCAGAGCATAAACACTAGCCTGCTATGCATAGGGCAACTGTCAGCCCCTGGCTGACTCTCTGCCTCTCTTCTCCACTCCCAGATCCACTTGCCAGCCTTTGATTACCTGGTACCCTTCATAATTTTTGTGTGGCATTTCTGCTCTGATAACCCTCAAACCTCTACTTGCAAGAACCCTAAAAATCCCAGCAGTTGGCCAAAGGTCCTTGTTGAGAAAATGGGATGTGTGGAATGGGATGGTCTCCCCACAACCTCACTCTGAGCTCCTTTCCTGTCTACTCTTCCTCCCTCCAGGACTCTTTGCTTTGCTTGGTATCTCGGTGTATACGGGAGTGACAGTGAGTTTCTACGGAAAGCGTTATGCCGAATGGAGGTTCTCCTGGTCCTACATTCTGGGATGGATCGCTGTCATCCTCACCATCTCAGCAGGTACCAGGAGTGCCCCTCAGTTTCTGCACCCCAAACATGGGTCTCTTCACCTAACTTCAGCTGTCTACGGGATCCAAGGGGCATATGGTCTTTCCAAAGGAATTTATTTGCATTTCTTTTCCTTTATTATTTATTTATGCTAAGGTTAGGATAGGGAGCCCGCTTGCTACTTCTACTACCTTTGAAAGCTTGGGGTTGGCAGGCTGGGATAGGGCCTTCTCTGTGGCAGCCCCTAAGCTGCCCACAAAAATATGCCTGACACCTTCGTTACACAGCTTCCAACAAATGCTGAAGACACACCCTGGCCTTTGACACATGGGGTGTATATTTTAGGACCCACCTTATTTCTGAGCTTTTTAAGTTGTCTTAAACTGTTTTTTAATATTGGGCTTAAATTATTGTAACCTGCCCTGTGACCTTAGGGCGAAGGGCGGGTAATAAATTATAAATAAAAACTATAATTATTGTGCTTCACTGGCTTCCCCGTTTTCTCCTCAGGTGTGTTCCACATTTGCGCTGTCCCCAGGAACTCATCCTCTGACGGCTCTGACGTGGCAAGCGGTTGACCCTCTGGGACGCTGGCCCAATTCCATCCTGTCCAGATGTCTGAGATTATTCCCACTTGGGACTCCGGACTTTGTCGCTGCCTCTTCCCTCATAAGCCCTCCCCAGATTGTCTTTCTGGATCTGCACAACAATTACACCAAAAATCAAGAAGGTTGCTGTTGAGACGCTGAGGAAAACACTATAGAAATTGTTCTCCCTGTGATGTTGCCACACTCTCAAGGAGTGGTTGAAGTGTGATTGAATTGCACTGCCATTTTTAATTATTATTTTTAGGGAGCAGCTGGCTTTTCAATGGCCTTGGCAAGGGACTCCAGCTGAGTTTCCGTGAGCCAATCCCTGCAACAGCCCTTGCCAACCCCGTGTCCTCCAGATGATCTGTACTACAATTCCCATCAGCCCCAGCCAGCACAGCCATTTTGGACTACACCGTTCATCAGGCTCAGCCAGCATGATGGAAATTGCAGTCCAAAACATCTGGAAGGCCACTCAGTTGAGGAAGGCTGATCAATATACTTACTACTGCATCGAGCGCATTCATCCCCAGGCCAATAAGGCTACAATCCCATACCAGTTTATCTGGCACTAAGTGTCACTGAATTCAATGGGACTTACTTGTGAGTAAACAGGAATAGGCTTCCTCTGCTTCTCTCCCAGGTAAACTACGGTATAAATTAGACTCCCTGTTTCCACCTCTTTTGCACCGGGCAAAACAACTGGGAGGAAGGCTAGGTAAAAAACCATGATGCTAGGAGAATAATGAGTAAATAAGTGTGGTTCAGCCACGACAGCATTCTTGTTATTGGTGCAGAAACGCTGTCATTTCTCTCCCCAGGCCTTTGTCCTGCCTCAGCTCTCTAGTGCAGGTTCATGACATTTGTGACATAAATTCACTAGAGGGCAGCAGCTACCAAGCCAGTGGAGGATTCAGCAATGTGCAAGCAGCAAACCTCTGATGTAATCCAAGTGCATGTGGTGGTCTGCACACCAAACATTTAAAGCACATGACCTCCCCCCCCCCAATAATCATTTGTTAAGGGTGCTGGGCATTGTAGCTTTCTGAGGAGTAAACTATAGTTGCCAGCATTCTTTGGGGAAAGCCATGTCCTTTAAATGTCTGGTGTGTGCTCAATCTATGTCAGTGTGCTTGCTGATGCTCCCAAGGTGTTCAGCCCAAGGAAAAAGGCTTTTGGATGCTGGTGTGGAGACAAGGCAAACCTAGCCAGTCTCTCCTGTCAGTTTTGGACAAAACCTGGGCTGCCTCACCAAGGGCCTTTGCAGAGGGCCACATTGTTTTCCCAAGTCCTTGCATTGAACAGGAAAAATAAACACCCATTTTCTCTCCAGTGTTTGCTTGAGCTGTGATTCACAGGGCCCATTCACAAGGCACACACCTCCTTAGTCACCGGGGAGCACTTGTGGGCCATTCATGTTTTGCCTGCAAATCAGGCCACGGATGGAGTAGGCGACTGTGGGAATCATCCCATGACTGGCCACATGTGGCATGTAGAAGTACCTAACAAAATATTCCTTTGGACCAAATCACACTGGACTGGTATTCAAAAATAGCAATTTCCAGTCACTTGGGTGAGTTGCTGTAGCTCAGGTGGGCAGTGGCCAACTGATCAGGGTAGTGGGGGGAAAGCTGCCCTGCTCGCTCCTGAGCCTTTCGCAGCACCTGGCAGGTACAGAAATAGAAGGCTAAGACTTTTCATGTTGTGGAGTCGAGCTGCTGCTGTTAAAAGGCATGGGAAACAGGAGCTGGCAACTCTGGCGGGTGGGTGTCACTTTCTTTTTCGCACACACTGTTTCAAGAAAGCAAAGCGCCACAGTGCTCAGGATTTTACACACAGTTCAAAGTGCAGCTTTTATTACCACAGTTTTCTCCTGGGACCTTTTCCTCCCAGAAACCAAAGGCGTTTTGGTCCCATGCACGGTGTTCACAATGTGCCATGAAAAGAATCTCTCTGAAAGAAACTGTTTTGACAAAAGTGGGAGAGACCAAGAAGGTGCTATTTTAGAACAGGAATCCTGCCAGCGTGCTTCAGCCTTCACCAATCTGCTGCCCTGTTTTTGCTGTTTTGAATGCATTAATTTGCTAGCATCGGGGGTGGGAAAGGGGGGTGCATCTGTGGATTGGATTAGGGTTGCCAGGCAGCTTGGCCTGCTCCTTTGCACAGGAAATTGGGGGACAGAAATAAGGTGGTGCCATGGAGAGCCAGATTAAATCCTTTAGAGGCCCTAAGCACTGAAAAGATTATGGTGTCCCCCATGTAATTAAAAAATAAAACAATATTCAATTGTAAAATAACATTTTTCCAACGGACACAGAAATTGCATGTATGCTGATATGTACATGCATGTACATCACATACAACACGTGACAAGGTTTGATTTCCTCACATTATTTCAATCTATGTTAGTAGGGTACCCCCCTGGTTTAGGTGAGGATAAGGGAAAAAATTAGGACAGAAAATTGGGAGTTTGTAGCGGAGCACAAGGAAGTCTCGCAAAGTTCTGCTCTCTCCCATGATGGCTACTTTGATGCCTCTTTTGAAATAATCAAATGCCAATTAAAATAATAATAACAATCCGTTTCTTTATGTGCCCCTGCATTACTGGTGCCCTGAACACCAGCTAAGCCTGCCTATTGGGTAATAAAGCACTAAGGGCGAACACGTGCTGGAAGCTGTTGTTAAAGAGGCAGAGGAGCCGGGCTGGTCCAAAAAGTTGGCCACCTAACCCTGGAGCAAAGGTTGCGGGCGAGGGGGTCGGGGCGCATGCGCAGTGGAGCGGACGCCTGGCAAGAAGCAGGTGGGGGCTATTTTTTATGCTTCCCCTTTTTGACTGCGGAGCCAAAGCGTCGGCGGGCCTGGGACTTCCTGCAGCGGCGGCGAGGCGCGGAAGGGACACGCGCGAGCCCCTTTGCAGTCGCTTGCCTGCCCGCCTGCCTTCCTTCCAATCCAATGCAGCAACCTGCGACAGGTAAAACTTTCTGGGCTCGAAGCCAGCGAAGGAGATGAGCCGCTTTTTCCAGCAGAGGGACTGCTTTTCTCCAGCTCCCCGGAGAACCACTAGGCGCCTTTCCCCGGCGTGTGCTTCTGAATGCAAAAAGAGGGGTCGGCCGTCCCTTCCACCTTATAATGGTCGCTTATACAAGCCCCCACTGCTGCATAGGGCATGCGGCACTCGCCTTCACCTGACTCTGGTGACCTCCAGGTGTTTTGGACTACAACTCCCATCTAAAATAAATCAATAAATCGGAATTGATAGTTCAAAACACCTGGCGGTCACTAGACTGAGGAAGGCTACCCCCATTTATTTATTGCATTTCTATCCCACCTTTCCCTCCAAGGAGCTGTAACATGGTTCTCCCCCTCCCCAGTCCCCAAAACAACTCTGTGAGTTGCCCAGTGAGTTTTGTGGCTGAGTGGGGATTTGAACCCTGGTCTTTCCCAGATACTAGTAGTCCAACACTCTAACCTCGGCCCCACACTGGCCATTCCCATACCCCTGGCCAGCATCTCCAATGGTCAGGGATGATGGGAGTTGTAGTCCATCAGATATCTGGAGGACACCACGGATAGGCTTCCTCCCCAAACTAAGTTCTCATGGTGGCCAAATTCCCATAAGGACCTAGGACTCTAGATAGACTGCCTCTGGATGGGGGTGGGTGGGTTTTCCATAAGAAGAGCCTGCTGGATCATGTAGTCTTTAGGGAAACAAACAGGACCTGAGCACAAGATCATTCTCCCCTCCTGCAGTTTTCAGCAATGGGTATTCTGAGGCGTACTGTATCCGACAGTGGAGGTGAAATGCAGACATTGTGGCTGGTAGCTACTGAGGGCACCCCATTGGCTATACTTAACCTACACTGACTTGCAGCAGCTCTTTCAGTCAGGTGCTGTGCTTAGCCCTGGAAATGCCCGGGATTGAACCCAAGACCACCTGTATGCAAAGCAGATGCTCTACCGCTGAGCTGCAACCCTTCCCCGTACACTTGGGAGCATCATTTAGGAGGCATTTCTGCTTGGAGGTGCCAGAGATCTCTCGATGCACTTGAAATGTGTGTTTTCTGATGGGTTGGGTCACTGCCTTGAAGCTACTGGCCTTCAGAAACTTTGCATTTCCAGCACTCCAGCTGCTGGCGCGGGCCGATGACATCATCAACCTACGCCTGCAGGTAGAGTAAGGGCAGAGCTGGCAGTGAGTAGCCATAGAACCTAGCAGATTACGTTGCCCTCACATCTCAGGATGCCTCTGTGCCTGTTTGTCAGGCACCTTGGGCACTGGAGTTCCCCATAAGCAACTCCTAGAACGGTTGTGTTTGTAGAATTACACCAAGAAAGTAAAGACTAACCAACAATGGAAAAGATCTGCAGCAATGTGAGAAGAGCCAGCAGGATCAGGCCAATGGCCCAACTAATCCGGCATCCTGTTTTCACAGTGGCCAACCAGACGCCTCTGCTGGGAAATCTGCAAGTAGGAGTCAAACACAACAGCACTTTCCTGTGGTATCCAGCAACCGGAAGCATTATACTGGCTCCAGCTGTGGAGCAATTGTGCACAGCCATCATGGCTAGTAGCCATCAATAGTTTGCCTCCTCCATGAATTGGGCTAATCCTCTTTTAAAGCCATCCAAGTTGGTAGCGTCACTGCCTTATGTGTCTTGAATTTTCCAACAAGGTTGATTAACCTCCCGTACAGGAACTTCATTTAATGAATGATGATAAACTGTGGTCATGGGTGGGGTGGGGTGGAGGCCCTGTGTGGAAGAGGTCTGTTTATGGAACCCATGCCTGTTTATGGAACCCATGCCTCCTGATTTGCTTACACGGAAGTAAGCAAGATCATATCCAGTCTTTATTGAGCTTTCATTCTGATTTGTTTGCAGGGTGATAATAGGACAATGAGCATTTGTCCTGATTTCCTTGCAGGGTGTTTACACGTCTTCCTGTTATCCTTTCACTCATTCCGCACTTTTCAGTGCATTTCCCAGTTCACTTTCCTAACTGCAAAAGAAGAGTCCAGTTTCTTATTTCTTAAAGTTGATTTGTTGCACTATGGAGACATAGCTTTGATTCACTTTAATTTTTGCCAACCTACATTTCCTGGTATGCCTTTTGAACCCCTCCCGCAAAATGGCAACAGCCTGAGAAAGGGCCTGTGGCTAATAGCCCAAGCATTCTCCAGTATTTTGTTTGTTTAAAATATACTGCCTTTAATGAACCGCTCAAGGCAGTTCTCAATAAAATCATTAAAATAGATTGAACATACAATAGAGAATTGATCTTTCTTAATTTCTTTTAAACAAACTGCTCCTCAAGGAGGCTTTAAAACTAATCAGTGCAGGTGAACTTTTAGAGCAGATCCACAGAGGATAAGGCTATCCGTGGTTGGTATCCATGATGGCTGTTTGCTCTGCTTCTGTGGTCAGAGGAACTAATGCTTCTGAATGCCAGTTGCTGGAAACCACAAGGGGGAGAGGCCTCTTGTGCTCCAAGCTTGCTCACAGGATCCAAACTAATGGATTCCAGTTGCAAGAAAGGAGATTCCAACTAAACATCAGAAAGAACTTCTGACAGTAAGAGCTATTTGACAGTGGAATGGACTCCCTTGGGAGGTGGTGGACTCTACTTCCTTGGAAGTTTTTAACCATCTGCCATGTATGATCTAGTTGAGATTCTTGCATTGCAGGAGGTTGGACTAGATGAGCCTTGGGGTGCCTTCCAACTCTCCAGTTTTATGATTCTGTGATTCTCTCTGTCCGACCACTGTGAGAAGAGGTTGCTGGACTAGATGGGCCATTGGCCTGACCCTGCAAGGTCTCCTTATGTTCTTATGACTGTCTCCAGTATCAGTGACGGGATGTCCCAGAAGACCAGTTAATTGTTCTGCAGTTCTCGTGTTCCACTTCCAGGCTTTCCATAGGCATTTCCATGCCACTGTTCAAACAAAATGCAAGACTAAATGGTTGGATCCAGCACAGCTCTCCTGGTGTTTTTAACAGTGGTCAAACAGCAAACTAGATGCTGAACCAACAAAACAACAACAACAATGCGGGGTGGCAGGTGGAGAGAACAACATCTACTACCTGATGCTTGCCATTGTAAATGGATGCAGTTCCCAAAGGATGGAAGACTGCCATTTCCAAACAATGAGAAAATGCAGTCTCAACACCTGGGAAACAGTAGCATTTGCCAACCTGGTGCCCTCCAGATGTTTTGGACGGCAACTCCCATAGAAAACACCAGGTTGGCAAAGGCGGTCTTACTGTTTCAAGAAAAGTGCCCCTTCAGGGGAAAGATGTCTAGGTTTAAAGGACCAATCTGATTTTTCTTGTAAAAAAAAATTCATGTGTGTGGTGGTGGTGGGAAGCAAAATCTGACCAGGCTGAACTTTTCCAGTGAGAATTGAGTGACCCACATATCTCCTGACTTCCTGGTGTCCGGCCTTCCCTTTGGCCCTTGAGGAATAGGTCAGTGGGGCAGGGGGAGGCAAGCTCTGGCCTTTGGGATCGGAGCTAGGAAGCTTTTACCCAGGAAGGTGATGCCTTGACACCGCTGGTGAGCTGTTCTGGCACTGGGCTGTGAACTCCCTTCGCTTTTATAAACGAAACCCGCCTTCCCCCCCCTTGAGAAACACCTGTTTAAACTTGCCAAACAGGTTAATATTCTCTCTCTCTCTCTCCATTCCCCTCCCTCTGGCAGTTCGTGGAGAACAGGTTGTGGAGTTTCAAAACAGAGCAGCGATTGCTCAGCACCATCAAGGAGCAAGCCACCGCACCAACGCCGCCGAAGAAAGGGGGACCTGACCACCCTCTCCCGGACACCCCATGAGAAAGACCCATTTCCCAGGAGTCACGGAAGCATCGAGCCTAAGGATGGCAGCTCCCTTGTCCCCCTTTCAGCTGGCATGAATCCCTCTCGCCCTGCTCTTTTTATTTTTAAAAGCTGAGTAGCTGTCTCCTGACCACCCCTTAACTCGGCACTGTTGTCATTGAGAAGGCAAGGAGAGGTTCTTCGCCACTACTCAGCTGGCCACTTTGGTTCTAAAGCCTGCGGAAAGCACTTTGACAGCAGCAGCAGCAGCTGAATCAGCTGGTTCCACCTTGCGCCATGATCTGGAAAGTTTTCCTTCTGTTGCTGGCTATCCCCGGTAAGTCCTCGCCCTCTGGGCTCTTTTTCCTTTCCGTTTTACCCCCTCCTCGACTTTCTCTACAACACACACACTTTTCGTTGACTGTTGAGCTCTCTGAAAGAGAGATCGTTTTTTGGTTTTTTTTTTTGGTAGCTCCTTTATTTCCCACAGACCGACTTAGTGAGTAATTGGGTAATGATAGCTTTGCCTAATCTCTGCTGGGCTTTGGGGGGGATGCTTTTGGATGGGGAAAGTCCTGCTTCGGTTTCGTTCCAGGCCCACCCACCCACCTTCCTAAGCCTTCCTTTATGTACCTGATGGGAAAGGCAGAGGGTGTGTTTGTGTGTTTTAGGGATCCTAGACATTGCTTGATCCCCTGTTGTTGACTTGCTGTGGATTAAAGAGCCTCTGCTTGATGTAGCCTGTTTTGCAAAAGGCAGATTCTTAAGGGGAGATGAGCTGGAAAATGAGATGCCTGGGGATGTATGTATCAGGATTTTGGAGGAAAGATGGATGGTTGTCAGTACCTTTTGCAGAACGAACTGGCCTGTGATAGTTCTACACATCTACATTGCGGGGGGTTGGACTGCATGACCCTTTGGGTGCCTTCCAACCCTAATCTCCTGGGAAGTGAGGCGCTTCAGCATCCCAGGTTCTTGATCCCATCTGCAAAGGCAAGCTGGGATGGGATCCCTCTCTCTTTTCCCTCCTCTTGCTGGAGGGTGAAACAGAAAGAGGGCTTGCTGTCTGGAGATGTGTTGCTGTTTGGTCCCCTTGCGGTAACCTGACCCAAGGAAATTGGCCCAGGAAAGTGATGTTTTTTCCTTTCCTGGAATGGAAACCAATTGGGTGTCGAAAGCTGAAGCTGCTGCACCCACACCCACCCCCAAATCAGGCTGCTGTTAAAAGCACAGGAGCAGTGCCAGGGAGGGGGAAAGTTGGTCCTTTTGGTGGAGTGGAGAGGGATAGGCCACCCTATTTCTTGCAGCCGTCAACATGCTCACAAGCTCTTCCCTTGAAATGACAAGCGTAAGGGCAACACCAAAAACAGATTTCCTGGTTTCTTCATTTTCTTAATGACATTTGAAAGTTAGAAAAAGCAAACCTGTTGCCAAAAAAAGAAGAGGTCCATTTGGCTGAGGATGCAGGAAGCTTAACTTTTTTTGTTGCAAAGAAAACCACTTTCTGGTGGGAAAATGCCATCTCCTCCTGTGCCGTGTCTTTCACAATAACTGAGCTTGGCTTGCCTCCCACATGGGAAGGTAGGCTATTCTGTACCAAGAGCCCCCGTCTGCCTGTCTTTCTCTCTGTGGGCTGCTTGCTCTGTAAATTGTTGAAATAACGTTGTTTCCTGCCTTGCTTGGGTGTTGCGGAGGCTGAGAAGTTGCTGCGTTTGGTGGAGTGGCAATAGAAGACTCAGGAGAGGGAGGCTGGATCTAGACACATCAAAGAAGCGTTTCAGTTAAATGGGTTGTAAATTTAAACAGGGAAAACAGGTACAGAAAAACCGGACTCCACAGCGACATCTGGTGGCACAATACTATATCACATATACAATGCATATGAATCGCTTTTTCTTTACCAATCTAGCTGAGTCTGGAGTTCCCTGAAAGAAGCTAAGGGGAAGTTACTATGTACTTAAGAAGCAAGGAAGCCATCAGTAACATACTCATGAAAACAACTCACCCCAGTGATTTTATGTGGGATGCCTTGCTGCCCGAATATATTTTGTTCAGGATCTGGAGGCGTGAAGACCTCATTCGCATTTTAAAGCACAATGATGCCACTTTAAACAGTCATGGCTTCCCCCAAAGAATTGTTGTGGTTTGTTAAGGGTACTGAGAATTGTTAGGAGACCCCTATTCCCCTCAGAGAATAGCAATTTCCTGGGTTTCCTGTGAAGCAGGATTGGTTATTAAACCACTCTGGGAATTTTAGTTCTCTGACTGTGTACGGTAGGGGTGTTGCCAATGCAGTGACTCTCAGGTGTTGTCAGACTTCAACCTCAACTATCAATTACCGTTCACCTTGCTGCTTGGGGCTGATGGGAGCTGGGGGTCTCCACCATCATCTGGAGGGTGCCGCAACATTGGCTAGCCCTGACGTTGCCGTGTTGTTCTTTGTACAGCCTGAAGAGCGGGAATTCAACAGGGTGTTTTCTTGCTATGCCGAGGAAAGCTTCACCAGTTGGATTTCTGCCTGCCCAGAGCACAGGGGCAAATAAACTGTGGGAAAAGGCTGCTCCCCTCTCACCACGGAATGACCACAGCGAACCTCCCTAATCTGAGAGACCCCATTGGGCACCAGTCTGCTTCACTAATTGGATAAGATTTGGCATTATGGGATGCCATTTAGAGGAGGGGGCGGTTAGCTTTGCCTTTTCCACTTGCCTCTTTGCCTCTCTCTCCCCCCACATTGCCTTCCTCCAGCAGCTTTGAAGTGACTCGACTGGTTTTTCATTACTCTCTCCGGAAGGAGCTCCAGCCCTGCAAGAGATGCTGACTCGGGGTTTGTGCCTTATACAACCATTCGCAGGCCGCAAAAGCAGCTCTGTGAGTCACAGAGACCAGTTTGGGAAAGGCTTCAGGGTTGAGCGAGTCCACGGAGTCCATGGGGCTGCCAGGCAGGCTCTGGAGCCTGGGACTGGGGCGGGTTGGCTGTGGGAGGGAGAATCATAGGATTGTCAAGCTGGAAGGCACCCCAAGGGTCATTTAGTCCAACCCCCTGCAATGCAGGAGTCGCAGCTAAAGAATCCCTGATGGATGGCCGTCCAACCTCTGCTTAAAAAGCTCCAATGGGGGGCACCTTCTGCCGGAGTCCTTTCCACTGTCAAACAGCTCTTACTGTCAGGAAGTTCTTCCTATTTTTGAGTCAGCACCTCCTTGCTGGTGATTTGAATCCATCAGTTCGGGTCACACCCTCTGGAGCAGCAGGGAATATGCTTGCTCCATCTTCCATGGGACAGCCTTTCCGATATATGAAGATGGCTCTCGTACCACCTCCCAGCCTTACCTTCTCCAGATCCAGCTCCTTCAATTGTTCCTCATAAGATATGGAGTGGTGTCTAGGGATAAGCTAGGGATGGGGCTTGCAAGATGGGAATGTGGCACCCCCTTTTTGAGACTCTTGGGGGCCTGGTGGGCAAAAGGGGGACAGAGCTGGGAGAGAACCCCCTTGGGCTAAGCAGAAAGTCTCACTCTGAGATTTTAGCCCTTTCCCTGGAAAAGGGGGCTAATTTCCCTAAAACTCTTTTAAAGCTGTCTAGGCTGGTGGCCGTCACTTCCTCTTTTGGGAGTGAGTTCCGGAGTTTTAACCATGTGCTGCATAAAGAGCCACTTCCTTTTAAAAAGGTAAAGGTAAAGGTACCCCTGCCCGTATGGGCCAGTCTTGCCACACTCTAGGGTTGTGCGCTCATCTCACTCTATAGGCCGGGAGCCAGCGCTGTCCGCAGACACTTCCGGGTCACGTGGCCAGCGTGACATCACTGCTCTGGCGAGCCAGAGCCGCACACGGAAACGCCGTTTACCTTCCCGCTAGAAAGCGGTCCCTATTTATCTACTTGCACCTGGGGTGCTTTCGAACTGCTAGGTTGGCAGGCGCTGGGACCAAGCAACGGGAGCGCACCCCGCCGCGGGGATTCGAACCGCCGACCTTTCGATCGGCAAGCCCTAGGCGCTGAGGCTTTTACCCACAGCGTCACCCGCGTCCCTTCCTTCTACACTTCCTTTTACATGTCCCAAATCTTCCATCATTCAGCTAAGGCAGTGACAGGTCCAGGGTTACCCAGTGAGCTTCATGACCGAGTGGGGATTTGAACCCTGGTCTTCATAATTTTGGAGCAAGAGAGATATTCCTGTGCATCCAGGGGCGAGTGCATGGTTGTTCAGTGAGGTGGTCAGTTTTTGTCTAGTTCCATCTAGAAACTCTGCCTTTCGATACTTAAAAACACCTGCTGTTTTGCTCCTCTCTCCTGCATACACACAACACACTTCCAACCTTCCCTCAGTTGGATTAATTTCACCTCTTCCAAGCCTTGGTGGGTATCTCATGCAGGAAACACAGAGAGATGTCCAGCTATCAGGAGTCCTTCTGCTAGCCATTGCCTCCTATTGATGAAACCTCAATCAATCACCAGTCCATCAAACAGGAGAATGACTGTGCGCTAACTGGGCACAAAACATGGTGCATGAAATTGCATTGTCTTTGAGTCCTCCTGCTATTTATGTGAATGAATGTCTACTTTTGGTGTGGAACAGAAACCGGAAGGGAGGGCATTAGTAATGTGAATGAGTATTCTAGCCTATGTATTATTTCTCAATCATGCATTGTACAGAGATTGTAGCAAGAATCACTTGAAACTACGCTTGGATGAGCCACATTTAAACTGCAGTTTGTCCCATGACACTGCAACAATGTGCATAGAATAATAGAATTATGGGGCTGGGAGGGATCTCCAAGGGTCTTTTAGTCCAATCCTCTGCAACACGGGAATCACAACTCAAGAATCCTTGACCGGTTGCCATCCAACCTCTACTTAAAAACCTCAAATGAAGGAGAGTCTACCACCTTTTGGGAGGGTCCGTTCCACTGTTGAATGTCTCTTGCTGTCAGAAAGTTCTTCCTCCCCTCCAGAGCATCAGCAGAAAACAAGCTTGTTCCATCTTCCACATGGCAGCCCTTCAGATGTTTGAATGTTTGATAGCACCTCTCAGTCTTCTCCTCTCCAGGCTAAACAGACCCAGCTCCCTCCCTGGGCCCATGCTCACCAGGGATCAGAAGCCAGCCCAGCTCCTGCCTGGCATCCTTGAGAGACACACATTTCTTGCACCTGTGCTTTCCTTTGAAACATCTCTGGTGCCTTAAGCAGCTGTAAACTGCCTCTTCCCTTTCTCCGCAGCTGCTCCTGCAGCTGTAAAAGGGGGCTAATGGACACTTCCCTGGTAGCTGTCCAGCTTTTGCAAAACAAAAGTTAGCAAGTGAGCCCACAAACGTCCCAGCTGGACCGATTGTGCAAGAGC